CTTTCGGATCCATCCAGCAGACGGCTGCGCGCCAACACCTCCTTTTCACCATGGAAGCACACACGACATCTCTCTCCAGAGTTCTCCAGAACAGAAGCAACATACAACACCAATAACCTACAATACAACCTGATAGTTTGGACATGACACCTCAGCTTGGTCTGCACTCATCGGACACGTGTCCACATTGTCTGCGCATCCCCAAAGCAGCCTGCGACACAGCACTTCAGCACAGAACCCCCTGCATGGCTAATGATATATGCATATATACACAGCGGAGCAAAAGCCTTTGTTGACTCTCCCTGATCTTGTTGAGCAAGAGCTGCTTCACCTCCTCCACTCTCGAGCTTCCTCAAATGAATTCATGAACTATTAAGAGAGGACATATACTGTCTACAGATACAATCTCTCTCTCTGTATATATGTATATGCAGTCGTTCTTATCTAGATTATATACATATATAGTATTTCAACACATATATAATTAAGCTGCGATGGCACTTTTCACACTCAGACTTATGTATAATATATATATATATATATATTGGAGAGAGAATACACACACACGCACACGCGCACACACACACACACACACACATATTTCCACAAACATGTGCATGTCTGGGTACCTGGCCACCTGCACATGTGTGTCTATACACCTGCACACATGTCGTTTTGTTTGCTGTGGGCTCCTGCACTCGCACGACGACTCTTATGCCACTGCACAGCAGGGTGTATCCCACCTGTCACGCACACATGTGTATATATATATATATATATACATATATATGATTTATATTTATATATACACCTGCCTGAGAAACATGTGTTTGTGTATATATTTGTATATATATATATATATGTATGTAAGCACATTGTTTTACCTGTATACACATACAGTAGCACACGCTGCAAGACACCAACCTGTTTGCACACATGAATGATGCATACATGTGTATAGAGAGAGAGATGTGTAAGGTTTGACATCATGTACTGCAATGTATACATGTCACACACTGGAATGCAGTGTACATATGTGTGTCTGTGCATGTCTGCACACTTCTGACCTATCGGTTTTTTCAACAACATGCAGTGAATATGGGTCATGCACATGCCACTCAACATCAACCATGCACCGACAAGTCTGCGCAATGCAAACATGACACCTGCAGCAACACTGGGAGGCACAGCTGGACTTGCATCTTCTTGGATGCACTTTGGTGGGCAAAGTTGTCCCTCATGTTGTTGCCACACACCGACTTCCAGGTCATAGTAGTGGCCTTCCCGCGCAGCACACATGAGACTCTCACCTGCAGGTCGGCCATAGTCACGCGAGAGAGGCCCAAAGCGATCACCTTCACTTTCGCAAGCAACCTCAACGGCAGGCCCCACATCACCAACCAGCCCAGCCCGAGGCCCCACCTCAGGATGGCCTGCATCAGCAACAACCAAAGGCCCCACTTCAGGAAAAGGCCCTGCACGAGCAAGAGAAGGCTGGCCCTCACACTCGGACTCCTCACCATCCACATAGGTGGAGTCCGACTCCTCATCGCTGAAAGCATCGTGGTTGGACTCATGATCCAAAGGAAGCCCTCTGTGCAGCTCAGGCTTCCAGCCAGCAGGCCACTCATTGGGCGGTGGCGGGAGGGCTGGCTCACTGACCACAGGCCCTGCTTCGTGAGCAACCAACCCAGCCGAAGGCACCAACTCTGGAACAGGCCCAACCACATTCACAGGAGGCCCACCCTCCACCACTGCATCATGCAGAGGGGCAACATCCAAGCCATCCTCACCTGCTCGCTCTGCCACATCATGCAGAGGGGCAAGATCTCCATCCAAGCCATCCTCACCTGCTCGCTCTGCCACACCATCCTCCCCAGCACCGACAGGCACTGGCAGAGCCATATGCTCCTCCCTCCGGACTGGGGGCAGATACAGCCTGTGAGTGCGGAGGGCAGATGGTACACTGGGCTTTTTGGTCATCTTCTTGACAAACGCAACTGCTTCATCTTCAATCAGCTTGGCAACATTGCGCATGCGAACCTTAGCACTCCTATGATTTAAGAAGAAGTTCCACCACATGCATATATGCAACACATACAGGACCATGCCAAAGAGGTGCCGTGAGTTGCTGCACATCTGCATCCCTCTGCGCATCGGACCGATCAGCCAAACCTTGAGAGACGAGGCAAATCTTCAACAACATTGTCCAGCAAAGAAGTGCACACAAAACGACCCTTCCGATTCAGAAGTAAATATGCATAGAGAAAAACAAGTATACATATAATTGCGAATACGTATATATCTATATTAATGTAATTAAATCTATAAATATGTTGATACATATTTGTTTATTTATGCTTACACACACACACACACCCAGACACACATACACTGGGCAACAACACTCCTTGCACACAAATCTGCTACTCTTAGCATGAAAGCTGGACTGAACTCTCCAGACAACACCAAGCAGCGCCGGTGGCAAAACACTAAGGCTTTCATAGCATGGGCATCAGGATTGATGGTGGCGCAATTGATCTTCACCTGTGGCAGTACTATATATACATTGTATATAGATGCATAGATGGATAGAGTATCCTCTCCACCCACCACCCACTGAACGAACATATTGGCCTCTTTGATTCCTTGCGCATCCTCAATCCGGTTGACCTTTGCCTAGCAACAGACACATTTGCGTGTAAACAAAAGCCTTGAACAGCCTGGAGCAAAACAAACAAACACACATCCCAGCCTTGACTGCCTTTCGAAATCTGGTGAGCATGAGCTCCAACGAGCTGACATAAAGCAGCCCATGGTGCTGCAAACTCCGGCCCACCAGAGGGCTGAGCAAGTTCTTAGTTCATGGTCACATGTTGCTATATATATATATATGCACATGTCCATATACATATACATATATATATATATAGAGACATATTTTATAGATATACATGCATGACAAGACATGTTTTTCCCCGAAATGATGGCAGTACATGAGCATCACATCCTGAGCAAAGAACCTTGTTCAGCTTCACTGCCAAAGCATTTGGCTGGCGCTTTCGTCCCTTTTCATCTGCCGGCCATTGGATGAAGCATGAATCAGTCACGCAGAGGGACTTCAGGTCCGGAAAGTCCGTCCACTCCTGTACAATTTCATGTGTGCCTTCTGCAATCCTGCCCAACCAAGAAACCACCTACAGCAGTCCTTCACGACTTCTTCACTCAGGAGAGTGAGCAGCTTGCTTGACTGCTGCTCATCCATCTCACTGATTGGCCCAGGATCCATGGTGGGCTGAAGAAACAAAGCTGGATTCGAAACCAAACAGGGCTGCACAAACATAGCATGTTGCAGCGTTGCAGCTTTCACATGCACAAACCAAGACAGCAGGCCAACCAGCATCTCATACCTCCCTTCCCCCCCTCCCCCTCGCCACACTGGGCGCCCGACAGGCGTCGGCTTGAGCTACCAGAGGGCCCATCATGCTGCATGTCTCCCATATATTTTGGTTACTCTGCCATGTGCATGACGATCATATGCACAGGGCCACATGGAGCTGCTTTCTGTTGAATCAACTGCCAGGCCACAACTCCATACAATGGCAATTAACATTCCATGCATTTGACAATCAACCGACAAGCCTGAACTCCGAAGGCAACAATCCATGCGATCCACATATATATATATATATATATATATATACGTGGACAGAACATAAGATAAACTGATGTATGACAGTTCATGAGATACATATTTTTCAAGAATGGTTTTGCACCCATAGCATTTTTAGCACTTTTGGAATTTGTGGTTTTCCGTTCTTTGGATCATACATACATTTTTCTTTAGAATGGTTTTCTGTTCTCGGCTCATCCAAGAACATCCAAAACAAAACTAGAATAGCATCAAAACTAGAAGTTGAGCCAAAAATGCATACAACCACAAAAAGGAACTACATACCCATGTCCAGGTAAATCCAAATCGCATTCGATTTTAATTCCCTAGCGATTTTCCCATCTAAGTTCTTGTGGGCTTCCCCATTTCGGCAATTCGCTGGATGAACAGGGTTTGGGGTTTCGGGTCAAGGGCTAGCCATTTTGGAATCGCCCAAACACTCCGGAATACACCATGCTACACATTGTACATAGGTGTGTATACATATACCTAGGCTGCCCAGTAACCAAGGCTGAAAAAGGGTGCTCTTTTTTGCTTAAAGGGTTTATAAGGGAACCTAAACCCCCCAAAAAGGGAATAAGGGTACTACTGGGCATCCTAGATACACATAC